TAAATGAGTTAACTAATAAAATAATCTTCTTTTTCTTTGTCTTCGATAGAAACAAAATGACACTCGTTGTAGATATCCTCTCTAGTTATCTCCCTCTCTCTCTTTTCCTCTTGTCCATTTCTTCCAATATAACACAAAGAGAAAAAGTAGTGTTCATGGGAAGGTTTTATCGTAGGTAAGATAAAAAATGAGAACAAAATAAATGCTATGTAAATTATATTGATTGCTCGGTAAAAAAATTCAATATTCAGTTCTTAAACTAACAGTAAATAATATGCAAATGCTCAGTTTATCATATTAAGCAGCAGTAAGAATATAGAATTACTATCGATAAGAAAAAGAAATTTGATAGGTAAAGGATTGGAATTTAATCAGTAAGTAATACATGTTTTATCAACAGAAAAAAAATTGTCGCGATTATATATTATAGGACGACAAGACAAATTTAATCAGTAAGTAATACATATTTTATCAATAGAAAAAGAATTGCAGATTACATATTACAGGACGAGATGACAAATTTGATGTAGATAAACTCGAATCATTGCACCAGTAAGGCAGGTTTTGCTTTTAATGTAAGATCTCTTTTTCTTTGAGAGTGAAGGTGTGGATGTGAATGAGAAAGTAACACTCATCGAATCACTTTCATACTGGGCGACATGAACCACATTCGCCTTTGTTACGAGTTATTACTTATAAGTATGTAGTAGACATAAAGACGAAAAGAAAACATAGCATAGATGGGTCACGCAAAAGTACACTTCAATTCACCGACTGATCCTATAATATAACTAACTGAGAGTTAATTTAATTAGTGAGCATATCATCTATTCTACTGATCACTTAAATCCATACCATTTAGATTCAACACGATCCTTTCCCTTTTTTTTGATTTTATCGACGAAGAAGAACGTGATAAAAAGAAAAGAGACTTGATCAAAATTTGCATTAATCATCGAACGTGTTTTCAGTGAGAGTAAGATATCAATTATCATTGTCAATAAATGATTGACGCCAATGAATAAGTCATGATTAGTTCGATGTCTTTCTTTTTTATTTGACTCTATTAAATAATCTGCTTTGTTAGAACTCATTTTTAATCACGTTCTTTGTTTTTCTATGTGCAATAAGTATCTTTGTGAAAAGTTGCATCCTTTGAGTATTTCGATCTTTTTTAGAATAAAAACTCATCAGATGTGAAATGAAAATCTATTTTTCTAAATTAAATTATTCATAAACGCTAAGTTTATGATATAGTAAATATGTGTCTTTATTAACATTCCAACAGAAAGAAAAAAAACGAGAGAATAAATTCATGCACATAACTTTTATTTTTAAGAGTATTTTTTTCTGTTTCTAGACAATTGATAGTATTCTTGAAAGAATAAATCAATGAATATATTTTTTCAATCTGTTATTAAATTAAAAAGTAAAAAGATAGACAAGAGAAATTTTTTTTGACATATATATATATATATCAGTTTTTAGGTTGTCTATTATCTCTTAATTATTATCGTTTGGTTCCGATAGTTATTGTGACTTTATTATTATTTCTTTTTTATACTTCTCATCAATGTCAGTTTATATCATATATTAATAAAACAAGAAATTCATCTAATGAAACAGATATGCAATCGAAATTAACTAGAATGATTGTTGTATCCCATTTTAATGAAGATTTAAATTGGCTTGATTTATTTATTGGTGATAAAATTCCACATATTGTTTATACAAGATCATCTGATCCATTAATAAGTCATGGTCTATTAGTAAATAAAGGCAGAGAAGCTATAGCTTATCTTTGTTATATTGTTGATTTTTATTCAAATTTACCATCATCAATAGCTTTTATTCATGCACATCGAACTTCCTGGCATCAAAAGGATCCAGACGATGTTGTCGTTGCATTACGAGCTTTAAAATGGAATAAATATAGTTATATGCCATTGACTAGTCTAAAGACTCAATCTCGTTTTCAACATAGATCTTCAGAATTACAAGATGCAGTTAATTATGAATTATGGCAAGATGTTCTACAAAAAGAACTTGGTCCACCACCATTAACTGGAGTTCAAACGCATTGTTGCGCATCATTTGTGGTGACAAAAGAGGCTATTCTTAAACATCCGAAAGTATTTTATTTAAACATAATGAATTATATTAATTCCAGTCAATATTCTGATCAATTAACAGGTAGAACACTTGAATATACTTGGCATATGATCTTTGGTCAACCAGCAATATTTAATTTAAAACCGTGTGATTTATTTTTTTGCGATACAAATGGAAAAATTTCTGTTGAATTAGCGGAAAAATATGCAGAGTTTTTATCTATCAATAAAATTACTGATAGACATTTATTCTGATTATTTGATTAATAAATTGTCCAGCATTTATTTATCTCGAACAAAAAATATTAAAAGAACATTCTTTTATGTAATACAATGAATATAATCTTAAAATAAATTCAAGCAATAGTTATAGAGCCAATAGTATTATAATTCAATTAACAACACTAATGATAAGTATTACTCGATATCATCATAAGTAGAGATATCTTTTCTTAATTTTATTCAATAGTACATACGCTGTTTTATCTTTGTCAGTGAGATAATAGTCTTTAAAGATTTGAAATATTATCTTATTGATTTAAATTTTCAAAAAAAACTAACAAAAAGTACGTTTTTATTACTTATGACACAAGTATTTTTAATAAAATTAAAAAAATCATCCCTGCGTTCAATTTAATAAATGCATTACACTTAACCATCAGGCGCTTTTTCGGGGTCCAGCCAGATCCACAACGCTAATTTTTGTTCCTAGCTACGTTAATACTTATTTTTTTCGGATCGATCTCTTCTCTCATTGTTATTCTTCTAACAATGCACGAAGACCATATGAAATTTTCCGATGCCTCTTACAGAGGAAAAAGTAAGGGATAGGTCCACACGGACTCTGTGACATCTTTGGTGTTATATATGTGATTTTTTTCTTGTTCAGCCTGCCCTCTATCATCTCGAAGGGTTATCTACCTACATAGAATTAGTCTTATAATTATTTTGTTTCACGACAATTATCTTCAATTTTTTTCGGTGGAAATAAATTATGTCTGAAACGTCTAGGACTCTTCGAGTATAAAAAGTTCAATAGTTTTAGTACTTTTTCAGATAAAAAGAATGACTAATAACCTAACTGTGAAAAGAAGAGAGTGTGGGTGAGTGCGTCAGTGACTATCCTGTATCCTATACCCACCCTCAAGATGGTTCTAACAGTTACGCTATTCTTTCCGTACAGATATGGAATTATCGATAGATAAATATGAATGAAGATGCTATCGATGATAAATTAGAATGCATTATATGTACTCAACCATTATAAAATCCAGTGATCGTCGACTGTCAACATACATTTTGTGTAGTTTGTATTGGTGCATGGATTAAAAACAATGCATCGTGTCCTCTATGTTGTCGTCAAGTTCAAACGAATTATGTTTTAATAAAAATATCTGATTTGTATATTTGCAATCAACTTGACTGTCTTTCTGTCCTACGTCTTCGATGTCAAAAGAATGGAGTCCAACCATGTTCGAAAAGTCGAATAACAATTTTCTCGGATTCAATTCAAAATCGCTTCAATAACATAAAAAAAATAATAGGATAAAAATATAATTCTTTAGAAATACCAACTCCACAGAGAAGAGTGACACCTACTGTTGAACCTATTCAACAACAATTTACTTCTCGGCTCCCAATACAAAATAATGAACAAAAAATTTATAATTCATGTCTAATATCAACTATAGACCGTCCATATGAACGAGATAGGAATGAAATTTTTAGACAAGAAAAAAAATCAATACGTGGTATATTGATTGCGCTTGTCGTCATTCTTTTTTTATATTTTATTAGAAATATTATTGTATTTTTCTGTATATTTTAGGAATACTCTTTCTTTTATACCATTGTTTAACTTTTGTATTATACTGAGATAGATTTTGACTTATGAATGTTTTTTATTCTAATTCAATACATTTGTTCAGGGTATCGATGTGGTTGTAGACGATACACACATCCCTGTCTTCATCTTAAATATATTCTTTTATTTACAAATCATATGATAACGATAATGTATACATATAGAAGAGAATAAATATAATTTCACGTGTCTCTCTCTCTCTCGTTTGATATCTATATATATTCTTGTTCGTTATTTTTCTCGATCAGTATCATCGAAACATGAAACGATCGTCGTCCGATAGCATTCTTTATGATGAAAATAATAATAAAAAACAGAAATTATCCACGACAACAAATAAGTTTGTTTATTTTGAGTTTTAATATTTAATCTAATTTTTGTCATTTAGATCTTGTTTAGAAAATTTAGCTAATGAATTAATTTATGAAATATTTGATTATCTTGATATTAATGATATTTATTTTGGATTCTTTTATTTAAATAATCGTTTTCAAAATTTATATTTAAATTCGAATAATGCATTTCAATTAAATCTGTCGAATATATCAAAAGAAGATTTTGAATATTATCATAAAAATGTTCTTGAACCAAATAAAAATCGAATAAAAATTCTTTATTTAACAAATCCATTTACAATAGATTTAATATTTTCTCCTCCACGTCTTATTTCGACTTATAATCAAATTGAAAAACTAATATTTGATAATATTCATTCAAAATATCTTATTAACATTCTTAAACATTTAATTTCTTTACCTAAATTACATTCATTAACTCTTTCATCTATTGATTATATTGAAAACCCATCTATATTATTTATTCATATATGTCGTTTAACAAAATTAAAATCTTGTCAATTAACATATCGAATAAAACAAACAAAATTAATTGATTTTAATCAATGTCAACAAAGTTCAATTGAAAATTTTATTATTAATGGTAATTTTCCATATGAATCATTAGAAAAGTTTTTAATTTGTTTTCCAAAACTTCATTCTTTGTCAATCAATCGTCTTGTTAGATTAAATTATTTAACTGAAAAAGATTTTAATCCAATTGAACTTAAAAATTTAAAATCCATATCTTTTGAACTTCATTCAATTTATTTTGAACTATTGAAGGCATTATT